GAATAAAAATCCACATCTGTTGCAAACGTTGCCTTTTCTATGAAACATTGCAGTTGAAGAGGGACTGAAATCGAATGCAAGTCATCAAGCGGCCCAGCGAAATGCTACATGCTAAAAACAAACAGCCCTCCTGATAAAATTTCTTTCAGCGAAAAATGAGCAGGCGGTACGGATCGTGCTTCATCAGGCAGTGACAGTACACAACAGCACGGATGAATCAGACAGTTTATCTGCAGTCATCACAAAAACATCAAACAACCTGACAGACAAAAAAATTGCAAGATTTGTCTGTCGGCATAATAACTCATAAACCACTTTATAATTTTAAGAAATCTTCTTTCTTAAGTTATTATTGAATGTACATGTTTCACTTTAAATTCAACCCTGATCGGCAATTCACCACAGTCAATTAACTCCAACAAGCACAAAAATGGCTGTAATTCAGTCAGTTTTACAGATTTGGAGCTAAATTGACCTGGTGATCGTCAAAAAAAAAAAAAACTGCAGCCTAGTTCATAGTGCTTTATTGAGACYTCTGATCATGTTTGTTACTTTGATACTTTGTGTCCTCATCTTTTACAAGAACTAAACAGGATGAGTTAACAGGAGAAAAATATACTGTATATAAAAATAACTTAAAAAATGTGGCTTCAGAACAGATTAACGCCTGCAACCTTTTCTGGAGAAACAAACTCTTCTGGCTCATTCACTGATTCAGTCTTTTTGTTCTCCTCTGGTCATTCACCTTTTTCTTCTCATTCATGCCTGATGAATCTATTTACCTGCTGCCATAGAAACGAGTCAGCTGCCATTGTCTGTGCCGATCAGGCTCTCCTGTCCAAGAGTCTGCAGAAAGCAGAAGCAAAAATCAATGCTCGGATCACTCATCAGCTCTAAACGTTAGTGTCTAATTAGACACTCGTTTGCAACGGCATTGATGTCAGTAATGTTCTTCTCAGACCCACAGCCTCTCCCACCACAAACAGCTGAACACAGGAACGCCACATCGCTCACTGCTGCTGCTGCATACACAATAATAAAATTCTCATAGTTATTTTTTTGTAAATTCCTTAATTTCTTGCATTTTCATGACAAAAAACTAAAAAAAGTGACAGTAACGGGGATTTGCTTGAGCAGTTTTGCCAGTTATTTTTAATGTTAAGTCATTTAATTATCGTTAAAGTTGCCAAGAAAACACAAAGTGAAGTTAATACTTACAAAACAATCATTTTGGAGTTTGTTGTTCCAAATATTCATTTTCTCTAAATCTTCCCCTTTATTTGTAATCAATTATGACATTTTTTCACTGTTTGATTTATTATTTTCACATGTTATGTTTAATACAAATGTTCATTCTAAAGGATGCTGCTTTTCCTCTTGTAGAGGTGACAGAGCGCCGAGCTGAGGGGAGAAATTTTCTGAATGAATAGACAGGTGGCTGTTGCCACGGTAACTGGCTATTTTTACCGATGGGGATTCCCTCTGTGGTTCCTGTGTGAGTCTGTGTGCATCGTGCAGATAAGGACGGGGTTAAGGGATGAGTCAGAGGAGAGTTTCCTTGAAGCAACGTGGTGAAAAAAAATCCAGAAAATTCGGTCGTTAAATATGCCGGATATCTTTTTTACACGTCCCAGAAAACAAATAAAAATAAATATTAAGGCTGATGGCTACCTTGTGTGTAAWGACTCAGTTTTGTAATTTAATTCATTACATCAAGACGTCTCAGTTGCTCCCTTAAAGATGGGAAGCGAAACATTTTCAACTACAGAAAATAAGTCATTTTATTTGGTTTTTTGTTTTTATTTTTGTTTATTATTAATATATATGATTTCCTATGACTGAMAATCTGCAGTTTCCAGGTTTGTTTTTCTGCCACCTGGCTTTTTACTTTAATGATTGCAGTTCTGTTATATAAAAACCCCACCTACAATCATCACAGCTTTATGTTTATCTTTTTTTTTGTTACATACCATCACAGCATACATGAATGTGTCGGTGAGTTTTGTTGGCAGGAAGTAGATATTAGAACTGGTGAGTTAACATCCCATCAGCCAAACGCCCACGCAGACTCCAGCCCCAGATAAATAAGTTGGAAACCAATCACTGATAAAAAAAAAAAGCCCAGCTTTTGCAGCAGATTGTGGTGTTGTGTAAAATTTAGAAAGTTAATTTTTCCTCCTCCCCAACCTCATGGATGTCATTCTTAGCTTGAACTTAGAAGGGGCAAAATTATGTGTTTCTCAGGCATATATTTAAATACTATACCATAATAAAGTATCTATGTCACCTTCAGTT